ACGCGTTAACATGGAGCACAATATTAGAAACTAAACTCGATTAGATTCTACGATGGCGGTCATATAATCTTCGACATGACCAGACAACAGCGATTTGTGTCCATATCACCAAAATTATTTCAAAAAGTGACCAACAACATGATAATATTATTAATATGCCTATTCTACTCTTCATATCCAAAATTTAAAAGATTTCATAAACAAAATTGACAAAAGGATGGACTAGTGACAATTTTGAATTGTATTTAATTTTTTTAATTATATCATTAACTGTCAATTGTATTTAAATCTGTTGAAAATCTCGAGTATCCGATGGCGTTAAGAGTTGATAATGGTCTTGGTAAGTTAATAAATGTCTAAGGAAGCAAATTTATCTCTCGAGTATCCGATGGCCCTAAGAGTTGATAATGGTCTTGGTAAGTTAATAAATGACTAAATAATAATTTATATAACATTGAAGACCTAAAGAAAGACCTGCAATAAGCAGATTTACCTCTTCAAAAATACCGCTTTAAGTATACAAAATTTAATTATTGTTTTAATGGTTGGTTTATCCTGATTACTTTTTTAATATATATGTTATTACAAAATGATTTTATATTTAGTTTTTATAGTTGATTATATTGATATGATCTCCTATTGTAACCTGAATGATTTATATATAATCATATGAATGAAGAATCATATGTGTTTTAAAAATGTTCACAAAAAGAAATAAATGATATGGAATAAAGTTAATGTCCTAAAGTTCTGCATCAGTCGGACTAATGATTAATCAATATTTTAGATTCAGTTAATTTTCTGACATGTAAATTTTCTGGCCTGCGATCATTTCATTAGGGAGCCACGATGGCTCAGTGAAAAACCGAGGTATCGTGTACACATTGGCATGCACGTAAAAGATCCTTGTCAGTTGAAATACGATGTGAGAGTAGCCCGTAGCGCAGCTGGCCGGGCAAAATTTCCCTCATTGCACACTGTATGGTGTATGCCTGTCTTCATTAGCCAATTCGGAGCAGAACAGTAGGACGTTAAACCCCATTTCAACCAATTCGAGCTCATGAAACTTTGCATGCTTGTTATGTCACCAATCCAAGAAAGCTGGTGGCTATTCCTTGCCCAGTTGGGTTGACAAATATTTACCGACCACGGTATTAAATAATGAGACAAGTAGAAAAAGCTAGAAGCAACGGGAATACATCAACTGGATTTCGTATCTAGTTGTACCTACTTTTTTTCAAATTAATTTATTTAAAATACGGTAAATATTATTGATGGAAGTAAAGCATAGACAACGAATTTATTTAAATCGAGGCGGATTGGGTGGCCGAATGGTCAAAGGTGCATATTGGATCAGAAGGTCTTTCATTGAGTCAACTGGCGTAGTTTCGATTCCCCGCTTGTACGTGACAAGGAATAGGGTCGCCTGTGGATTTGCTTCCAAAACCGAGCTACCATGTACTCATTGGTGTGCACGTAAAAGAACCCTTGAAAGTTGGAATTCGAACTAAGAGTAGACCTTAGTGCCAATGTCTGGGCAAAATGCAGATACATGAATAACTTACACAACTTGTGACGTTAATAATAAGGCATTAATATCATGAATTCAATCCCTCCTGGAACGGATGAACTATGTAGACCTATTCTCTGGCTTTAACGACGTCACATGACAGACCCATGTCACGTGATCTTGAGAGAGAGAGAAATGGGGTTTAACGTCCACTCGACACAAACTAGGTCATTTCGGGACTAACAATGGTTTAATTTTATTTACATAATTCGCTTGCGCGTAGGGGTCTTTAGCAGTGGGAGGAAACCGGAGGCCCCCGGAGAAAACCCACGAGGTTGGACAGGCGACACTACTACGTGATCTTGAAATAGTTATAAAATAAGCACCGGCTGACGAACAAGTTGTAAATCATGTTGGAATAGATTCGGATCCGGGAAATGACTCACCTTCGCAGAAGTTCATCAACTGTTACTGCTAATTGTGTATGTATTTATTAATATTGATCGTAACTGCTGTAATCTTTATCTTACGTTGTGTGCTGGAGGTGGGGGGGGGGTAGGGTGAACGTCCTCTTGACACAAACTATGTCAGTCGCGGACCCAGAGAAAACCCCCGACGTTGGGCAGACAGGAGCAGGGAATCGAAACCCTCCCTCGCCACGTGACCCAATAACAGACCTTATTATCTAGATCGCACGCCTTAACCCTTTGTACTAGAAGTATATATAAGTAAAATAACCCGATTTAATAGCTATTTATACACGTAATATTATGTTATATTTACTACAGACATAATCTTCTGTATTATCATGAACCAGAGAGAGAGAGAGAGAGAGAGAGAGAGAGAGAGAGAGTGGGTGTGGGGTTTGTGTGTGTGTGTGTGTGTGGGGGGGGGGGGGTGTTGTTAACGTCCACTCGACACAAGTAGATATACTTCTAACATGGGAGGGACACCAAGAAAACCCAATAGCTTGGGCAGTCAACCCCGCTGCTTATCGCGCGAAGAATCGAAGCCAGGCGTTAAACTATTCGACCACCCAACTGCGCAATTCAACAAGATAACGATTATCTCGCGTTATACCCCACTGCACATGTTTATATACAACAGCAATATAACTCTTTGGTCGTCAAGGTCATCAAATAAAGTGAATCTTTCAATGGTTTCTTGACTTTAAAAATAGCATAGGTAGGTCAGATATTTTTTTTTTGTTTCTATTGTGTTTTTGCTTTTGATTGGGGGAAGGAGGGGGGGAGGGGGGTACGAAAGAAAGGATATTACGAACTGGGCTACTAGATGGGTGTAGGCTTAAAGTACAACAGAATGGTTATCTTTTTTTTGTTTTTACCTATTTCTTTAACGAAAAATTATGTAAGAATTAGATAATGGCTGATAGAGAAGAGAGAGAAATGGAGTTTAACGTCCACTCGATACAAACTAGGTCATTTCGGGACTAACATATGGTTTAATTTTATTTCAATAATTGGCTTGCGCGTAGGGGTCTTTAGCAGTGGGAGGAAACCGGACCCAACTCCTTGTCACGTGAAACCGGGGATTCGAAACCACGCCAGTCAATGATACAGCGCGTGTACGCTAACCATTCAGCCATCCAACCCCTCATAATGCCTGATAGTTCTTGCAATAATAGATAGAATAGTCTCGATTATCCATTTTTTAAATTGAATTATTAACCACTGATCGTGTATAAATGCCTTGGAAATCTCGAGCTCAGATGGCATTGAGAGTTGTTAAACGGACGATTTGAACAGAGTCTCAAAAATAAAAGTATGAAATTTAAGCGCCAAAATATAGAGGAATGTTGCATTTACCTTGTCTCAAAGTTTCAGCTCAAAATATGGAGTCGTTTGGACGTGAAAGTCAAAACTGCTTAAAAACACTTATATGGATATACTACTTCTGAATTTATTAACATGCTACGTTTCGATACTCATACAGGTATCGTTATCAAGCAAATGATGATATATAACATTTCGTTCGTTCGTTTCTGGGGTTTTACGTCCACTTCCACCTAACATATAACAACAATGTGGTGGAATATATAGTTAACAAATTGGAAACCATGTAACAGATTAATCATTAATTAAGAATTAACAAGAACTAATAATATGGATAAACAATTACAAAGGATTAACAAGATGAAAGACTGTAATGTATTGATTAGAAATTATTTGAATTTAGCAGATCAAACTAATAATTATAAGAGATTAACGAGATGATAGATAGTAATATATAGCTGACAATTAAACACTAATTAGCGGGTGAAACCATAACTACAAGATGAAAGGGTTAACCGCACAGGCAAGAAATCGAAAACTAGGGAGAGGATACCATACACTGATAAAAAACAGACATTAATAGGGATTAAATAAATCCACCTAAAGATTAGGGAGAAAATGTCCCGAGTCCCTATTGAATTTTGGCTTATGTTTTTGAATTTCTAGCGCCTCTCGTAGAATTCTATTTTTCCATGTTGATAAATTTCTGGCTAGTATTTCTGTGTTCTCCCATTTGATTTTATGCTTTGGGTTTTAGTAGATGTGTTCTGCTATTGCTGATTTATTATTTTCATGTTTATAACTGCCGTGTGATGTTCTTTTGTTCTCACTGAAATCGGTCGGGATGTTTCGCCAATATACGCCGCATCGCACTCACAATTTATCTTGTATACAACACCCTTTGGGTCATCTCTTGGTTTTTGTATCCTACCACCAGCTTTTAACATAGTTTTAAGTGTGGTTCCGCTGCTGAATACTACCTCTGTGCCGATTTGCTCTGTTAAAATTCTTTTAATATGGTGGCTAGCTGGTCCTATAAATGGGATGGTGATAAATACCGGGCGATTTCTTGTAATGGCATCGGGTGTTATGCATGTATGCGTGAGAGTTTTCTTCATGGTTGTTTTAACTGTGTTGACAAGGTAGTTGTTATATTCTGTAAGGACGTGGTTGATGTGCTGTAGTTCAGCGTCGAGTAGATCATCAGGACATACTAATTTTGCGCGTCTTGTTAAGGTACTTATGATTCCAGTTTTGACTTTGGTTGTATGGTTAGAACTATTATGTATGTATTGGTCCGTGTGGGTTGGCTTGCGGTGAACAGTGGTTTTTAGGTTATCTGCGGAGTTGATTACTACTACATCTAGGAGAGATAATTGGTTGTCTTTTTCTAATTCTACAGTAAATTTCATTCGAGGGTGGATGCTATTGAGGTGTTCAAGAAGGTGCTGTGGATTCTGACCTGGTTCTAAAATGGCAAATATGTCATCAACTTTTCTAATCCATGTTATAGGTCGGTTAGGCGTAGACTTTAGGACAGATTCTTCAATATAGGTCATATACACTTCTGTTATGAGAGGGCTTAGGGGTTCATAATAATAGTCACCTGTTTATTACAATATATTATGGATGTGGACCCAATATCCGTGCATATTGTATTTAGTTGTCTTGTTGCTTGTGTTGACAGAATACTCAAGATGATGTATGATGATTTGTTGAAGAAGATAGGAGAGTTTGGGTGGTATCAGAAACGAATATTTGCCGTGACATGTATGCAGCCAATTACATCTGGACTGTTTCTACTGATTTCAATATTTACCATGGCAACGCCATCACACAGGTACATGTAAATTAATATTTTAAAATAAACAAAAAACATGTAGATCGGAATGGGTATATGCTTCCCTGCTTTGAGTTATGCCAGAGCATTCTCATTTTATGATGACTTTTGGGCACGTTGCATGAAATAGGGATTTGCCTACAGACTTTTTAAAAGTCTGCATTTAAAAAATTCCGAAGTCGCCATCACGATAATATTGATGTCTGTAATATGTCTATGTCTGCGATCGTTAAGTCGCCATCACGATTACAATGTATATTGATGTATAGAATATGTCTATGTCTGCGATCGTTAAGTCGCCATCACGATAATGTTGATGTCTATAATATGTCTATGTCTGCGATCGTTAAGTTAATCAACCTGATGTTTCCGCTTTATCGGATTCGGCTTACACCACGACGGTAATGGCGGGAATCGGGCGAAAGACAGAGTATACTTAGAATTTCATGGGTACATGATATCGCCGTCCATTTGGCGAGTTCATTTGATGTCGTCGTTACTCGATTTTACAGAATTCGTTTGCTGCACGTGTATTTGACGACTGCTTACATGGGGAAAAAACGACGCTCGTATGACTGCTGACACGACCTCCCACTACAGAGGGTCAGATCATTAAGCAGTGAAGGCCATCGAAAGTATATATAAACGAAACGAAATATAGATTTGTATTTTATTTAGATTGGATTAAACTGGACTGTGCTTTAAGAATGTTTACATAACTACTTGTTTTATGGAATCAAGATTTTTATTTTAATAATTGAGTAAGGGGAATGTTTATATTTTACAGATGTGCAATACCAGGATATAAAAACGACACCTACCATCAACAAAACGATTACCATGGTTACCTAATAAATCAATCTATACCACAATCCTCTAGCTGTCTTATACGTAATACTACAGTTGATAAATATGGTAATGTGACATCATTAGAATACAAGTGTAGTTCCTGGGTATATGATACCTCCATCTTTACATCAACATTTGTCACTGAGGTAATGCGCATGTCGATAGTTTATCATGTTACTTGTTACTGAGGTGATAATCATGTCGATAGTTTATCACGTCATTTGTCACTGAGGTAATACGCATGTCGATAATATACCCTGACCTTTGACACTGAGGGTGTGATTTATCACTAGCATTAAAGTTGAACGCACGCCCTTTAGATCCTAAGATCTACCATTGAGTCAAATGGTGCTCCAAATATCCGTATGCGCTAGATCATACTTTATTCCCGAAATGACATAATATTCAAATCCACTATATATAACAGGCTAACGATGGCATCGAAAGTTGATTATTGTCTGGATAAGTTAAATAATGTCTAATTAATAATTTAAAAAAACCTGCAGAATTAGGTCTTGTATAATGTATGTTTAAGGGGTATTATTTATTATGAAACAGTTTGATCTGGTTTGTGATAATGTTTGTTTATATTGAAACAATTTGATATGGTTTGTGATAATGCATGTTTATTTATTTTGAAACAGTTTGATATGGTTTGTGATAATGTTTGTTTATATTGAAACAGTTTGATATGGTTTGTGATAATGTTTGTTTATATTGAAACAGTTTGATATGGTTTGTGATAATGCTGTACTGGAGAGTAATGCTGTAATGATTCTATTTCTGGGTTTACTACTTGGATATGGCCTTCTGGGTAATGTAGCTGATCTGTAAGTTTATATAATTCTATTTTCAGAAGAAAAGCTCTCTAGAAAAACTATCTTAAATTCTTATGGTAAATTAAAAAAGATGAGTTTTGATTTGGTTACTTTTCAAACTTCATCTCCCACCCACTGAAAAATATAAATAGCCTTAACCTAGTTGATTGTTGATCTTGTTAAATATGCAATCAGCTCACGTGGGCTCTACACGAGTGTGTCTGTTTTTTTTATTTTTTTGGTGGGGGGGATTGGGTGGCCGGATGGTTAGCATATGCGCGCTGTATCATAAGCCCTGTCATTGAGTCGACTGGCAAGGTTTCGAATCCCCGGTTGTACGTGACAAGGAGTAGGGCCGCCTGTCCAACGTCTTGGGTTTTCTCCCAGTCCTCCGGTTTCCTCCCACTGCTAAAGACCCATACGCGCAAGCGAATTATTGAAATAAAATTGAGCAATATGTTAGTGCCGAAATGACATGCTTTGTGTCGAGTGGACGTTAAATCCAATATCTCTCTCTCTCTCTCTCTCTCTCTCTCTCTCTGTTTATTTTTTTAATAGACCCATCTGCAAATGACAAAATATATCGATTATATATTTGTTGTGATCTATATTATATATATGTTGTGATCTAAAATTGGAGTGGATTTGGAAACCCGGGTAATTGTAGCGAAGTTTGAAACATCGTCGGTCTGTGATAGATTGATCCCAACGTATTCTAACTGCGATGGAGGCCCAAGGAAAGCACTCAGCTACTATTGTTCGAAACCGAGGCTCATTTCAAATTGAATATCTTATAATATTATTATAGTAAATATAAAAAAATAACGAGATTGGAAATTAGTTAATTTTGAAATTAGTTAATTTTGAAATTAGTTAATTTTGAATATATTTAATCATTACCAAATGACCATATATTTCTATAAGCTCGACTTATTTTCAGATTTGGTCGTAAACCGTTAATGGTAGTATCGAACTATGTGTTTGTAATTTGTGCGTATCTGATGGTTTGGTCACCTAATTACATAGTACTATTAGTATTAAGGTTTTTTCTTGGACTTTCTATAAGTGGACAGGCTCTTACTTGCTATATAATTGGTAGGTTTAAATTTACTCTGATTTATATTTTACATTCTGTAAATGATTTGTTTAATAGACAAATCGGATTGTTCCTGATGTACCTTTTATGCAATTTCAATATTTTTTTTTATCGACGGCCTAATGTAACTCGAAATAAGCAGTCTTGATCAATAAACAAATAATGCACTTTTGAGTGAATTTTTCGCACTCGCAAATCCCTCCCGGCGCTGGCCTAGAAAGTGTGAATTCGAAATAAGAGTAGGCACCGCTGACCAGACACAATTCCCCTCACAGGACACTGTATAGCACTGTTGGTGCAGAAATGTATTTAGGACTGGATAGATGACTACTTACACCATAGACTTGAACGTTCGAGTATTCGTCATAATTCCAAGATGGCGGTGATCACGTCATGTCCAGTGCATATAGTATTTCAAGTAAGAACGATTTTGCATGTATATATTTGTTATCTTTATAGGGGTAGAATTAGTTGGTCCATCTAAAAGACGATACACTGATGTAATATCTAACTTAACATGGTGTCTTGGTTTGTTCATGATTTCATTATTTGGCTATCTCATCAGAAATTGGCGATATTTACATCTCACTGCGGCCATCTTTTCAACACATCTCTTGTTCTTTTTTGTGTAAGTTAGAAGTGTTTTTAATAAATTAAATACTATAAATGTGATTTTATAAATTATTATAGACTTGAACTTTCTGGTATCTGTCATAATTCCAAGACGTCATGTCCGGTGCATATAGAATTTCAAGTAAAGAACGATTTTGCATGTATATATTTGTTATCTTTATAGGGGTAGAATTTGTTGGTCCATCTAAAAGACGATACACTGATGTAATATCTAACTTAACATGGTGTCTTGGTTTGTTCATGATTTCATTATTTGGCTATCTCATCAGAAATTGGCGATATTTACATCTTACTGCTGCTATCTTTTCAACGCATCTCTTGTTCTTTTTTCTGTAAGTTACACTTTTAAGTGTTTTCTGTAAAATAATACCATTCATGTGATTTTATACAGATCTATATTTCGTTTCGTTTTTTAATACCTTCGATGACCTCTACTACATGAGGATCTGACCAGTTGTAGCTGGAGGTCGCGTCATAGGTCATACGAGCGTAAGAGCGCCTTTTGACCCTATGGCGTCAGACATTTGATTACCCAATCCGCGTTGATGTTTCTATTAGGTTACCCACAGTTCCGTGCAACTCACGTCAAAAACAGGCCGTTTCATTGGCTAATCTCTCACATCATCCAGAACGCGGGCAGTAAAGACAAGTAAACTTAATTTTGAACTATAAAAAACGAAACGAAATAGGATCTGTGTTTTAATCTGATTGTAAAAATACACCACAGTAACAAACATTCTGTATTACAAAAAAGTCTAAAAAGGAATACGACTAGGATCTGTGTTTTAATCTGATTGTAAAAATACACCACAGTAACAAACATTCTGTATTACAAAAAAGTCTAAAAAGGAATACGACTGTCCTGTGTAACAAAATTATTCACGGCTGAAATATATATACTCATTTTACAGAATAATTCCAGAAAGTCCACGTTGGTTATTGACTAAAGGTTATAAGGTCAAGGCCAGGACAATAATAACAAAAGTTTCTGAAGTTAACAAGACAATAATAAGTGAAACAGTTATTGCCACAATAAACGTTCCAGCAAATATTACTACTGCTAAATTCTGGAAACTGTGTTCAACTAAGAAACGGTGTCTAAGAACTTTTGTTATTTATTTCATGTGGTAAGTTATCGCTGTTCTTATTAATTTAGAAAACTTATAAATGTCCGGGTAGAATAGACACATCAAATAGAGGATCTGTTACCGGGTGAATAGACACATCAAATAGATAATCTGGTACCGGGTTGAATAGACACATTAAATAGATAATCTGGTACCGGGTTGAATAGACACATCAAATAGATAATCTGGTACCGGGTTGAATAGACACATTAAATAGATGGTCTGGTACCAGGGAGAATAGTCACATCAAATAGATGATCTGGTACCAGGTAGAAAAGACATGTCAAATAGATGGTCTGGTACCAGGTAGAATAGGCAGAACAAATAGATGGTCTGGTACCGGGTAGAATAGACACATCAAATAGATGATCTGGTACCGGGTAGAATAGACACATCAAATAGATGATCTGTCACCAAGCAAAATAGACGCATCAAATAGATGGCCTGGTACCAGGTAGAATAGACACATCGAATAGATCCGTTTGCCGGTTGAAGAGATACATGAAAACGATGCTCTGTCACTGACAACATCTCTACAGCTTACAGCTTACAGATTACATTTTAAGGTTGGGAAAACACAAAAGAACATCAATTCCAATAATTTCAGTATTAATTTTCAGAACCAGTTTATTTTAAAGTAGAGCAAAATACAGGCCGGGTGAAGCTGAATTAACAAAACCATTGTGAGAAGAGGTCGGGTGATTTCCATCAAAGATAGGTGAGAAGTCTCTTGCGCTTTTGATGATACGGGTCAGATAATCCACGCCTTGTTAGTGGCGCATGGTGGAAGGTCTGTCAAGAAACACTGTCAATCATCCGCAACGGGTTACTAAAATTGATCATGTTTACAGGTTTGCAGTAAGTGTCAGTTATTTTGGAATTATGTTAAATTTAGAGTCGTTAGTTGGAGATATATACCTGAATCTTGTTCTAGCAACGATTGTGGAAGCCAGTTGTTATATGGTAGTTTTATTAACAGTGGAACGGTTAGGCCGAAAAAGACTTCTGTGTGGCTGCTTTCTACTGGGTAGTATAGCTTTAATAGCTGTAATACTAATTATATTATACGCACCATCTGGTAGGATCACAGTACAACATTTACTAACTATATCATACAATACAAGAGAGAGATAGAGACATGGGGTTTAACGTCCACTCGACACAAACTAGGTCATTTCGGGAATATTATATGGGAGAAAACCCACGAGGTTGAACAGGCGACCCTTCTCCTTGTCAAGTACGACCGTTGAATCGAAACCACGCAAGTTGACTCAATGACAAGCCTTATGATACACCACGCACGTGCTAACCATTCGGCCACCCATCCCCCCTCAATACAAGAGATCTACACATCAATTTACTAACTATATTTATTTGTGCATGTCGTTTATCTGTTTGGTGTTGACGGCTACACTAGGGCTACACTATGGATGGGGCAAGGCTGAAATTTGGGATATAAAATTTGCTCCAGTCGGGAAGTGACATAGGCCTGGCGGTGTTGAATTACCAGTTCCGGTTTCGGATTTATACTAATTCCGATTTCACTTAACTCGTATAACGAAGCGGAACATGGCTTTACCATAGGCACGTTATTTCACAGAACCTGCCCGACATAGGCCAGAGACCGTTGTCCTTAGCAATTAAGGTATTGTCTTTTTAGAGCTTAGGTTATGGCGATTACACAAATCTTGATTTAAAGCCGATAGCCAATAGAATGATAGCTGCTCCATTGTCCTGGTCAAGGACACAGTTCTGACTTCCCGTTTTCATCAGCCCAGTCGGAGCAGAAAAGTAGGACATTTACCCGCATTTCAGTTCACTTCTGGCATCTTTGTTCTGGCTTCTCTGAAGCTGTGGAATTCGGCTAACTGTCAGACTATAGAAGAAAGTTTTGGGTTGTTTTTTTTCTTCAGATCTCAAGTGGCTGATGACGTGTTTTACTCTCTTGGGTCAATGTGGAATTAACGGCGCTTTTGCCGTATGCTGGTTATGGACAAGTGAACTATTCCCAACTGAATTAAGAAATGTTGGTAATGGTACAAGTTCTGCTTCAGCAAGAATCGGATCAGTGGTTGCACCTTATTTAAAACTTTAAGTAAGCTACAATATTCAAGGCCGGGTGACGAGTGGGAATGAAACCCCGACACCGCACCAAACTTATAAACCATATGGGCGTATTATGTCGAGGCCCCTTGCCAATCCGTGAAGCATTGGGGACATGAGAGAATGAAACCTATCGATACTAAGCGACTTTCCGTTCCGGAGTTACCACACCTTTGCAAAGAAACCCGTGAACGCGATAGAGGATGTAGTTTTAAAATTTAGTGTGAAGCATTTTGATCAAGAGAGGACGAACCCGATTTATATTCAGCTTTGCGCGACTTTCTGTTATGGAGTTATCTCCCATTGTCGAAAACGTCTTTTCGAATAATGAGAGGAGAAATCCTATCGACAACCAACGTTCATATAGATGACATATAGATAAAGCATTGCGGTCATGAGAGGACCTATAGATAATCAGCGTTACCCAAACCCCCTATTTTGAGAGAGAGAGAGAGAGGGAGAGAGAGAGACGGGGTTTAACGTCCACACAACACAAACTAGGTCATTTCCGGAACAACATATGGTTTAATTTTATTTCGATAGTTCGCTTGCGCGTAGGGGTCTTTTTAGCAGTGGGAGGAAACCGGAGGACCCGGAGAAAACCCACGAGGTTGGACAGGCGACCCTATTCCTTGTCACGTACAACCGGGGATTCGAAACCACGCCAGTTGACTCAATAACAGGTCTTATGATACACCGCGCACGTGCTAACCATTCGGCCATCCACACACCCCCTCCATCCCTATTTTTATGATCGCAATTCAATGCGAATCACAAGTAATTTTCATGTTACAGGGTAGTTTAATGCCAGGTAGATTTGAAGAGGTTTCGCCATTCATTTTATTCTGTATTGTGTGTATAATTGCTCTGGTGTTGATCTTATTTCTGCTGCCAGAAACATTTCATCAGAATCTACCAGATACTGTTGAAGATGCTGAACGATTAGGAGACGGGTGAGCTTGCCAGTATTGTTTCCTTACAGATAGCCCCCCTCCCAACTCACCCCTTCTCTAAACGTGTGGCAATATTATTTCCTTACAGATAAGTTTCCCACACCCCTTCTCTAAACGTTTGTCCACACTGAATGAACGCAGTGGATGGTATGTCATTCTAGCCAACCAGAAGATCTTTAACATTTTGCTGTTCGGATGAAAGAACAGTATTGTATTTTCAGTCCGTTTAAGTTATCTATGAGTATTTTTGTAACAAATTAACTTTCCTCAGATTAGATGATTGAAAATTCTCAAAATGGTGGACGGAGAGATATGGTTCAATATTATTTCTATAATTCGCTTGCGCGTTGGGGTCTTTAGCAGTGGGAGGAAACCGGAGGACCCGGAGAAAACCCACGAGGTTGGACAGGCAACCACGCCATTTGAATCAATGACAGACCTTATGATACAGCGCACACGCGCGATCATTCGGCCATCCTAATGGTGGACGGTAAAACTCCATAAAACGGGAGCAAGTGACAACGGATCATATCCTTGCTTCCTTCAGTCAAACTTTTATAATTTCTACATAACTTTCTTTACAGTCCTAGGTTCCTTGGAAAATTGCGCATCAAGAGACAGACTTCCATTTTTTGATATGACGTCACAATTCTGAGACAGTGGTGTTTAACCCATGCTTGGTTTATAGTAGACATTTAAATTTTAAGTTTAATTTTATAAATGTTATTTCGGTGAAGTTTAATTTTATAAATGTTATTTTGCTGAACATTTGAAGTTGTTATTTTATGTTTTATTACAGATCTAGTGATGCTGTTGATGAAAAGGAATTAGCTGCCAGTATGTTAGGAACTGAAGTAAAAGGCGATGTATCGCTTGTTATTTGACACAATATCTTTCTTAGGGCGCTGGTTTGTGACAAGTTTCATCTAAAATATGAACTTAAAACATTTTACCATTGGTCGCCATACATGAAAAATATAAGAATAATATATTTAAAACAAAATTAAAATGTCACATTTATACAGAACAAAGTTATGAGTGTTTCAAATTTTGACAAGATAGTCTTAATTGTCAAGTACAATTGCTACGATAATGATTGTAGTCTCGATTATCGTTAAATCATTTAATTTCTAAAGTGATCTAAGTCATTCAATATCAAGACCATCCGATGGCGTATATGTAACTAACATTTGAATATACCTGCACTATGAAGATTTAGCTCTTAAATAATGCATTTTTATTAATTTTTATTATGTTTATTTTACGTTATTAAACCAATGCAATATTATTGATCTTCTAACGCCAGGGTAATATTATTGATCTTGTAACGACAGGGTAATATTATTGATTTTGTAACGCGAGGGTAATATTATTGGTCTTGTAACGTAAGGGTATTTTTCTGACCAGTATTCAGTTGAAATGAAGTGTAAGGTAATAAATATTACCGGGTCTAATGAACAGTTAATTATGCGGGGTATCAGGTTCAAAATGCGATCTGCAGTAGAAAGTAGAAAATAAAAAGCAAAAGAGAAAATTCTTATCCAAAATGGACATTTTCGTGTGGGAAACATATACCGCTCGTGCTTTTCAACCTAATACGTCCACCTTTTCAACTTTAAGTCGCAAATATTCTACTTACAACAACAGAATTTCTACTTTCAATAATCAACTTTTGACATTCGACTTTCAACTTCAGATTTTCTTCTCGAGATTTTCTCCATGCATATTACAGAAATAAATTTGACCACGTGACTATTTCTGCATGTCATTAAAATACGGTATTTAAAAATAAACGATCCCAGGGAAAGATAACTCTAGTTGTAAGACTAAGATAAGATGGAGTCAGACTAGCAATTATTTGCCCATTGACTTCAATGTTAAATGGCTGTAACATCACAGGCTGTAGCTGTTTGCTCAACATTCCGTTGGTTCCAATCTTTATAGGCACAATGGGGACCACATTTGGCAATATCCTCATCATAAATTTGTAGGGGGTTGACCGTTTAGATTTTTTGCTACGGGGATTTGAAGTTGACTGGGGTGAAAATCTCACTTCCGACACAGTGATTGCTCAGCAGAAAGACACTTTACATCTCCTATCCCTCCGCTGTAATATCATCAGTATTACCCAAAACTGCTATGAAATTTCAAATTTTATCCCTTTTCTCCAATTCTAGACCAAAAAGTCAACCCAAAAATGCAGGAAGAGAGGAGAAAAAAAATAGTGGGAAAAATTGTCTATTTATAACTGGCAGTTTAAACAAGTCTGTTGTTATCTAATAAACAAACATATATGCAATGCCCTGGCCAAAGAATATGAAAATCTATGCATTTTCAGATGAGCTGTGCGGCATTCTGCAAACACTATAATACATCAGAAAACTTCGGAATTTCAGACAGAAATTTAAAAGCACATGAATTTTGAATTAAACAGAACATTTTTATTTTTGAACATAAATGCATTCTTCAAAAGGATTAGATGAATTCAATATAAAGCAAACACGAAAATACTTTAAAACTGTAATCATGATGCAATATTAGACTTTTTAACACTTTCATCGAAAACCACACAGTTTTTCTCTGTTAACGTAGTTTCAAGAGTCAAATTGTGGTCAAATCTAAGATGTTGAAACATGCAGTGCCTATCAATTTTAAAATATCTTCGTATTTCCATAGGATAAGTAAATTGAATAATCTGATTATGTAACACTACAACAGCTTTTTCATCCCCCCCCCCCCAGTTTGGAATCTGATAATTTAAAAGAAAATGAATTTTGAATTCCACAGAACATTTTTATTTTTGAACATAAATGCATTCTTCAAAAAGATGAGATGAATTCAATATAAATCAAACACGAAAATACTTTAAAACAGTAATCATGATGCAATATTAGACTTTTAACACTTTCATCGAAAACCACACAGTTTTTCTCTGTTAACATAGTTTCAAGTGCCAAATTGTCGTCAAATCTAAGATGTTGAAACATTCAGTGCCCATGAATTATAAAATATCTCCTTTATAGTTGTATTTCCACAGGATAAGTAAGTTGAAATAATCTGATTATGTAACACTGCAACAGTTTTTTCATCCCCCTCCCCCCAGTATGGAATCTGCTACATTGCTGACCAATCATAGGTCTCCCTGTTCACTCTGGCCTGTCAAATGATTTACAATGGCGATGGTGCCTACAACTTTCCTTACCATGAGATATGCACTAACGTCAACACACAAGCCATTTATGTTATCTTCAAATATGAGAGGCCATGATAAACACAAGGGCGTCCTTTTCAAGGTCGGAAATGAAGTCATCACCAAACAGCAAAGTTTACAGAGGTCCTCGAGGCTGGAACCCAAACTGATTACAATGGGCAAATAATTGCTAGTCTGAGTCCATCTTATCTTAGTCTTACAACTAGAGTTATCTTTCCCTGGGATCGTTTATTTTTCTGGAAAAATACCGTATTTTAATGACATGCAGAAATAGTCACGTGATCAAATTTATTTCCGTAATATGCGTGGAGAAAATCTCGAGTAGAAAATCTGAAGTTGAAAGTCGAATGTCAAAAGTTGATTATTGAAAGTAGAAATTCTGTTGTTGAAAGTAGAATATTTACGACTTAAAGTTGAAAAGGTGGACGTATTAGGTTGAAAAGCACGAGCGGTATATGTTTCCAACATGAAAATGTCCATTTTGAATAAGAATTTTCTCTTTTGCTTTTTATTTTCTACTTTCTACTGCAGATCGCATTTTGAACCTGATACCCCGCCATAGTTTATGAATAATTAAAAGTGACAGGGTACTGATTACTGAATCAAGAAGTATTAAAAAACACTAGACTTTTAAAACAGTTTTAAAGCGTAAAACTTATCTATTAGTTATTAGTCATATCCATTCTTTCGTTCTCCACCCCCTACAGCCATCCTTTCTTTCTTACCCCCGCCTCATCCATACACACCCTACAGTCATTCATTCTTTCTTACTCCACGCCCCTACAATCATTCCCTTGTTTATATACCCCATATCCTTATCTATTACTTCAGGTAAACCCTTTCTTTCATACCTCACCTCCTACAACCATCTATTAGTTGGGTTAGTTATATTCATTCTTTTATATCTGACCTCCTACCCCAGTTCGATTAGTTAAATCCTTTCTTTCATACCTCACTCCCTACCCCCATCTATTAGTCCAGTTAGTAATATCCCTTTCTTTCATACCTCACTCCCTACCCCCATCTATTAGTCTAGTTAGTAATATCCCTTTCTTTCATACCTCACCCTCTACCCCCATCTATTAGTTGGGTTAGTTATACCCTTTCATACCCCAACCCCTACAACCATATATTAATTGGGTTAGTTAAACCTTTCATACGACCCCCCTACACCCATCTATTAGTTAGGTTAGTTAAATCATACCCCACTCCCTACCCCCATCTATTAGTTGGGTTAGTTATACCCTTTCTTTCATACCCCAACCCCTACAACCATATATTAATTGGGTTAGTTAAACCTTTCATACGACCCCCCTACACCCATCTATTAGTTAGGTTAGTTAAATCCTTTCCTTCATTTCCCACCCCTATACTTATTGTACCACTGCTCCGACTTCCCCCCAAGAAAAATAATGAAGAAGAAATAAGAAACTGTCACCTACCTATTTGTTTGGTCTAGTAACCGTACTTACAGGTGAGTGTGGTCTTACCACTCTCGAGAATTCACCTTCTTGTAAAGTTCCCGACAGAAAGATACTTTTACTTTTGTATATGAAAATGCGCAGTGGACCAAATAACGACATACTAGGTATTTGATTGGTGTACATTCAATTTGATTGGTGTACATTCAATTTGTCAGTGGACCATCTTAAAATCGCTTGTCATTGTACATTCAATTGGTCAGTGGACCATCTTAAAATCGCTTGTCATTGTACATTCAATTGGTCAGTGAGCTATCTTAACATCGCTTGTCATTGTTAGATATATATTGGCCCTTACAATCTGATTAAAATACAGATCATATTTCGTTTCTTGTTTTTTTTGTTCAAAATTTAATATACATATTGATATACATACACATTGTATTTAAAATTTTAAAATTCAGTCATGACCAATGGACCATTAATAAACAACACGTTACCAAGATAATGACCCATTACAGTTTAACGGATCTTTAAAATAATCGATTTCTGAGCAACTGGCCCCTGAGCAACCTGATCCCTGAGCTGTAAAAAAAAAGAGAATGAGAGAGAGAGATAGAGAGAGAGAGAGAGAGAGAGAGAGAGAGAGAGAGAGAGAGCAATGGAGTTTAACACAAACTAGGTCATTTCGGGACTAACATATGGTTTAATTTTATTGCAATAATTTGCTTGCGCGTAGGGGTCTTTAGCAGTGGGAGGAAACCGGAGGACCCGGACAAAACCCACGAGGTTGGACAGGCGACCCTACTCCTTGTCACGTACAATCTGGTTAGGAGCTGGATCAAATACTCTTTTAAGTCATTGTGGCAATGAACACTAAGACGTAACATAGCATACCCCATAGCTGCAGATTTACATGAAACACATGTTAACACGTTACAAAAACAAAAACAAAACAAAAAATCACATAATAGAATATTAGCCTGGAACCTGAAAGTAAGTCGGAACTCCTATGAATTTATCTATCGTAAAATATTTTTAACAAAAACATAAATTCTTTGAAATTATAATCAGAAGTCATATATATGAGTGTAAAATACAGATGTGACGTCATAATTTGATGTTGGCGTACCATTATTTCAAATAATCGTACGAGAAATGTTCCAAGCGTACATTAAATTGTCAGGCGCAACACATTGCTTAATATACCAGTACTTAATGTCTCGTACTCACATTAAAAACTACACTGACAAAGAAAAAAATTAATGGTGCATTTTTATATTAAATATATTATATTGTATAGATGAATTTTAATATACTGAAAGTAATATGGTAAATGACGCGATTTTCTGATAGTTGTGGAGGGGGTTTGCGAACGTAAAGTTGTCGCTAGAGAACAGGAAGGGGTAAAGAGAGAGCGCGCACAGGAGACAGAAATTCTAAAGTCTGGAATCTAAAACTGGAAAGGTAAGGCATCCGAAGCAATCCGATCTACATAAGAAGATGATTTGTTCTATTGATTCAAGCATGGTTAAATTATAAATATAGTAATACTAATGTTTTCAAATTACTAAATAGGTAATAATAGCGTTTAAAAATTACTAATATAGTACTAAAAATGTTTAAAAATTAATAATTTAGTACTAATAATGTTTAAATATTAATAATTACTAATAATGTTTAAAAAAATTTTTAAACAAGAATAATATAGTACTAATAATGTTTAAAAATTATTTATATAGTACTAATAATGTTTTAAAATTACTAATTTAGTACTAATAATGTTTTGAAATTACTAATATATTAATAAAAAGTTTTTGAAATTACTAACTAGGTAATAATAATGTTTTGAAATTCCTAATTGGGTAATAATAATTTTTTGAAATTACTAATTAGTAATTTCAAAACATTATTTCAAACTTTAGGTAATAAAAAGGTTTTAAAATTACTAATATTATTAATGCATATGGGGTGGGGGGTGGGGGGCTGTCTGGATTGGAAATAAGATTTTGGATTAATTAGATGCCATGGAAATAAACTGGGTCAGTGACGTGGCATATTGATGTCTGGTAACCCCAGATATAATCATAGCCTTGGTCCTCTTCCCAGCTATTTCTTGAAACAATTGACACGCAAATCCCATATTGGTACATCGTAAAACATGTCTCTCAATGGATAAGGCAACAAGAGACGTTTTAATGAAACATATGTTGACTTTCGGAAATGTTACATACGGAAATTGGAAGCAGTATACTTGTAAAAATGTAACTATCTTTATTCTGTTATACCCGCCCCCGATCATGAATATTTACCAACACATAGTGTGAACTGTGAATAATATCAAATCAAACAACCCACTATTTGCCGATGTTCTTATCTGGGGTTCGGAGTAACATTCTCATGGGTGCAATTCCAGATTAATGTAAGTACACGTCTGGATGAACAAGTATTTTGTACTGCTTTTAAAAGCGTTATCTTGTTTAAAGATAGATTATGGGAGATAAAAAACATAGTCTCGATTATACATTTGTGGATTTAATCATCAATGAGCAGCAGATCGAATTCAAATCCAGTGAAAATCCGACACATAAGATGACATCGAGAGTTGATTATGGTTTGGATAAGTTAATTAATATCTAATTAATAACTGTATAATAACCGGCCAAAAGAAAGACCTTCAATAGGCAGATTTAGCTCTTGCAAATTGTATGTTTAACGTTAACCGCAGTTTTTTTCTCCCTTTTAAGATTATCCCCGTCTTTATTCTCTGGGTCCTCCGATTTTCCCCCACAGCGTAAAGACCCCTACGTGCAATACAAGCGAATTGTTGAAATAAAATGGAACCATGTGTTAGCCCCGGAATGACCTAGTTTGTGTCTAGAGGACGTTAAACGTTACCCCACGGGTACTCTAGAAAGGTAAGTCAGTAACATAACCTACCTAGTGTATGACACTCGTTAATAATGAGATTTCATCACCACAATAATAATATATCAGGCATTCTTGTTCTAGTAACATTAAGTTGTGTTTAACCTATATCACTTGATCATGCCTTGTCATAATAATGTCATAATATTTTAAAAACATATGTTGAAGTGGTGAAAATAATAACTCTATTAGATTTGTACTGTTATGGTGTGTTTCAGTGAATTCAATTGATATGTATAATATAATATTTTGTTGAAGCTGTGAAAATTACGTTTAATAATTTTTTTACTGTTTGTGTTCGTCAGTGAATTTTGTTAAAGGTTACGTTTAATATTAGATTTCACCCGAATCGTTACTGTTACGGTTTCTGTGCTTGAGTTAATTCAGTTTTGATTTTGATTTGGAAAGTACTGACACAAAATAACCATCATGACAAGGTAAGAAATAGTTGAGAATCAGGAAGTATTTGTGTAGTATATATATTATCTTACAGTAACTTGTTGGATGGGGACGGTGAAATGAAGATAGGTTATCTGACATTTGAAATGTGTCTGATTGATATTTAATGTGAATAAATAGGTTATTTCATGTTTCCATATATCAGACTCTAATTTCTGAATACAAGACCCACCCTCTACATGAGTCTTAGGGACATGCAGTCAGAGTTGGCCCGGGGAATCAAAAAACTCAACACGCCACAGAGAGAGAGAGTGAGAGAGAGAGAGAGAGAGAGGAGGACATTATCGAAATATATGATTCAAGAATTTAACAATAAGGGGGTCGTTTGCAGTGGAAGAAAACCAGAGGACCCGGGGAATACTCGCAAGGTTGGACAGGCGATCGTTCTCCACTTGACTCAATGACATGTCTCATAAACAACGCACACGCGTTAACATGGAGCACAATATTAGAAACTAAACTCGATTAGATTCTACGATGGCGGTCATATAATCTTCGACATGACCAGACAACAGCGATTTGTGTCCATATCACCAAAATTATTTCAAAAAGTGACCAACAACATGATAATATTATTAATATGCCTATTCTACTCTTCATATCCAAAATTTAAAAGATTTCATAAACAAAATTGACAAAAGGATGGACTAGTGACAATTTTGAATTGTATTTAATTTTTTTAATTATATCATTAACTGTCAGTTGTATTTAAATCTGTTGAAAATCTCGAGTATCCGATGGCGTTAAGAGTTGATAATGGTCTTGGTAAGTTAATAAATGTCTAAGGAAGCAAATTTATCTCTCGAGTATCCGATGGCCCTAAGAGTTGATAATGGTCTTGGTAAGTTAATAAATGACTAAATAATAATTTATATAACATTGAAGACCTAAAGAAAGACCTGCAATAAGCAGATTTACCTCTTCAAAAATACCGCTTTAAGTATACAAAATTTAATTATTGTTTTAATGGTTGGTTTATCCTGATTACTTTTTTAATATATATGTTATTACAAAATGATTTTATATTTAGTTTTTATAGTTGATTATATTGATATGATCTCCTATTGTAACCTGAATGATTTATATATAATCATATGAATGAAGAATCATATGTGTTTTAAAAATGTTCACAAAAAGAAATAAATGATATGGAATAAAGTTAATGTCCTAAAGTTCTGCATCAGTCGGACTAATGATTAATCAATATTTTAGATTCAGTTAATTTTCTGACATGTAAATTTTCTGGCCTGCGATCATTTCATTAGGGAGCCACGATGGCTCAGTGAAAAACCGAGGTATCGTGTACACATTGGCATGCACGTAAAAGATCCTTGTCAGTTGAAATACGATGTGAGAGTAGCCCGTAGCGCAGCTGGCCGGGCAAAATTTCCCTCATTGCACACTGTATGGTGTATGTCTGTCTTCATTAGCCAATTCGGAGCAGAACAGTAGGACGTTAAACCCCATTTCAACCAATTCGAGCTCATGAAACTTTGCATGCTTGTTATGTCACCAATCCAAGAAAGCTGGTGGCTATTCCTTGCCCAGTTGGGTTGACAAATATTTACCGACCACGGTATTAAATAATGAGACAAGTAGAAAAAGCTAGAAGCAACGGGAATACATCAACTGGATTTCGTATCTAGTTGTACCTACTTTTTTTCAAATTAATTTATTTAAAATACGGTAAATATTATTGATGGAAGTAAAGCATAGACAACGAATTTATTTAAATCGAGGCGGATTGGGTGGCCGAATGGTCAAAGGTGCATATTGGATCAGAAGGTCTTTCATTGAGTCAACTGGCGTAGTTTCGATTCCCCGCTTGTACGTGACAAGGAATAGGGTCGCCTGTGGATTTGCTTCCAAAACCGCGCTACCATGTACTCATTGGTGTGCACGTAAAAGAACCCTTGAACTAAGAGTAGACCTTAGTGCCAATGTCTGGGCAAAATGCAGATACATGAATAACTTACACAACTTGTGACGTTAATAATAAGGCATTAATATCATGAATTCAATCCCTCCTGGAACGGATGAACTATGTAGACCTATTCTCTGGCTTTAACGACGTCACATGACAGACCCATGTCACGTGATCTTGAGAGAGAGAGAGAGAAATGGGGTTTAACGTCCACTCGACACAAACTAGGTCATTTCGGGACTAACAATGGTTTAATTTTATTTACATAATTCGCTTGCGCGTAGGGGTCTTTAGCAGTGGGAGGAAACCGGAGGCCCCGGAGAAAACCCACGAGGTTGGACAGGCGACACTACTACGTGATCTTGAAATAGTTATAAAATAAGCACCGGCTGACGAACAAGTTGTAAATCATGTTGGAATAGATTCGGATCCGGGAAATGACTCACCTTCGCAGAAGTTCATCAACTGTTACTGCTAATTGTGTATGTATTTATTAATATTGATCGTAACTGCTGTAATCTTTATCTTACGTTGTGTGCTGGAGGTGGGGGGGGGGTAGGGTGAACGTCCTCTTGACACAAACTATGTCAGTCGCGGACCCAGAGAAAACCCCCGACGTTGGGCAGACAGGAGCAGGGAATCGAAACCCTCCCTCGCCACGTGACCCAATAACAGACCTTATGGTCTAGATCGCACGCCTTAACCCTTTGTACTAGAAGTATATATAAGTAAAATAACCCGATTTAATAGCTATTTATACACGTAATATTATGTTATATTTACTACAGACATAATCTTCTGTATTATCATGAACCAGAGAGAGAGAGAGAGAGAGAGAGAGGGTGTGGGGTTTGTGTGTGTGTGTGTGGGGGGTTGTTAACGTCCACTCGACACAAGTAGATATACTTCTAACATGGGAGGGACACCAAGAAAAACCAATAGGTTGGGCAGTCAACCCCGCTGCTTATCGCGCGAGGAATCGAAGCCATGCGTTAAACTATTCGACCACCCAACTGCGCAATTCAACAAGATAACGATTATCTCGCGTTATACCCCACTGCACATGTTTATATACAACAGCAATATAACTCTTTGGTCGTCAAGGTCATCAAATAAAGTGAATCTTTCAATGGTTTCTTGACTTTAAAAACAGCATAGGTAGGTCAGATATTTTTTGTTTGTTTCTATTGTGTTTTTGCTTTTGATTGGGGGAAGGAGGGGGTGGAGGGGGGTACGAAAGAAAGGATATTACGAACTGGGCTACTAGATGGGTGTAGGCTTAAAGTACAACAGAATGGTTATCTTTTTTTTGTTTTTACCTTTTTCTTTAACGAAAAATTATATAAGAATTAGATAATGGCTGATAGAGAAGAGAGAGAAATGGAGTTTAACGTCCACTCGATACAAACTAGGTCATTTCGGGACTAACATATGGTT